CTCTACAATTTGGACCTACGGTCCATAGGACCTTCTACGTACCGTACTGGTTAACCGTAGAAAAGTTTTGAATCCTTATTTTGAACCAACTTTTGATGGACCCTAGCTATAGCTCATAGGTCTTTATACAGACCATAGACACCAACTGTATTAACCAATTTTAACCTTAAAATATCACTAAGTCAGGGACCTTCCTATGAGACCTATCTATGGCTCGTACATAGGATGACATGCCATCCCGGTGAACCATAAAATGGGACACTAGAACTTTATTTGATAATATATATTTCCCATATTCCTACGGTTTCCATCTATGGCCCATAAAAGCTTGTACGGTCCGTAGATGGGAACCATAGACACAACCTGCAACCCTAAAACTTGTTTTCTTAATTTTTTTTCGAATTTTGAGGTGTTAGAAAGTGTGATTTATTATCAGTTATGAGATGGATCTAGCATAATCATAACTTTTGAAAATAATATTTGTTTTTCTTATTATTACTACTACTATATTTTTAAGGAGGGATATCCATTTTTTTGTAGTATATACATGAATTTTCTTATTTTTTTATTCTAATTGAAGTTATAGAAGCAAAACATACCTGAAGACATTATCATGAAGATAGCGGAAGCTTTTGTTAAAAATAGATTTCTACCTCCTTATCCTGTCCTTATGTTACCACAATCGGCGGCGGAGGAAACATGTAGAGAATTTTCTGAAAACCTTAGGGGTGAAAGGAGGACCAATTTATAAAGGCCAGGTTAGGACTTAATCTTGAACGTGCATCAAGTAATCAATCTTACAAATAAAATTTATTTATTTTTATACATTATTTACCGACTTTCGGATATCATTTTGTATTTAAGTCCTTACAAAATGTCAAATTCATTTTATTAAAATGAAAACAAAAATGAAAACAAAAAAATAGAGTTCTTTTTAAAAAATAACTATAAATTTATTTTTTATTATTAATTTGGGCCCGAACTTAACATGGACAAAATAAAATTAATACAATTAACATGATTCAATTCAATTACAGAACTGAACACACACCAAAAAGTTTCACTTGTACATTTTTTCAGCATTCACATATCATATCATTTTATATAAAAAAATGGGGAGCTCAAAAATGCAAAGTTTACTTACCATTTTACTCCTTAAATAAATTAAAGTATTATAAAATTTCCAATTCATTTAATATTAATTATATATACAATTTTATAGGGGAAAATTTGGTGTAAATGGCATGATTTAGTATTAAAAATATTGTATAGAAACTAGCTAGAAGAAGCGGTAACTTTTCACTGGAAAAAAAGGTTTATTGAATTGTCATCGATATACTATTAAGTATTTTAATTTGATATTATTATATTTCAAGTTAAATCATCATCATCCTCAACCATCTCTTATTTTCATCTCTTCCATATACTACAATGTCATCTGATAGTAGGCTTATATATATATATATATATATATATATAATTAAGGGTCTATGATTCAAAAATATAATATGTCATTTACAATTTTAACTTCGATTTTAGTTTTGTTGATTTCTTTATCTTTTTCTTTTTCTTTCACTACACCATTTTAGGCCTATGGCCACCCCAGTAAAGTGTAGCCTAAACTAGCAAAAAGTGTGGCCTTTGATAAAAGGCTACACTTTTGGACTTTAAGCAACGCTTTTTAGGGGGTGGCCTAAAGAAGCGTAACCTTTGACTTTAGGCAACACTTTTTAAATGTCGCCATAACAGCTACACTTATAAAGCGTAGGCAAAGAGGTGTAAGGGCACGCTTTGTAGTGATGTATTAGCGACACCTTTTTTTTATTATACTACACTTAAAAGCGTTGCCTTTGCTTTGTTATTGGTCACACTTAAAAAGTGTTGCCTTTTATATCTCATCTAGAGCAACACTTATAAAGTATAACTTTTCTTATATACAAGATAACATTGGACGTCCTACAACAACACTTTTGAAGTGTGGCAATGTTGTGTAGAATTTTGTAGCCACAATTTTTCTTTAAGAATATAATTTTTTTTTGCATATATTCAATAATCACATAATTAAATATATAAGTGATCTAAAGCACAAAATTAGCAAATAAATAAATCAAAGCTATATATTTCAAATAAACTTCGAGAAACATGTCTTGTACAACCAATACTTAGAAAGCGATTGCTTAAAGATCTCTACTATCAATAAATTCCACAAAACCAAATGCATTCAAAAAAAATATGACAATAGTACAAAAACTCCTCATCATTCACTACAATAGACCGAGTTTACTTCTAGCCACTATTCAAATTCAATTACCGACATTTTCCTGCACATTCAAAATAAAATTATAAGTTAGTGAAATAAATCATGTATTTGTTATGCTCAATACTAGTCATTTTAACAATACTTCCTAGCCCCTTCCCAATGTAGTGGTACTGTTATGAAAAAACATGACTCTTAGGTGCTATTAAAACATGTATTTCATATGCTAATAACATGTCACAGTAAGTAACTACAACAAAATCCATTTTCCAATCAACTGTTGTTACAAAAACTATAAAATCCTAGTTCTACATGTATTCCGAGACTCTTTCGGCAAATATGAACAATAAATCTGGGAGAAAAGAACAAAACACTTAAATGATCACTCACAAACATTATCTATTGCGAAAAAAATTCCTTTACAAGAGGATATAAATATCATTCCATGGGAAGCACCAAGTGACTTCTGAGAGCACAAAGCAGATGTACAACCAAAGAGCTCACTAATTTTTATGCGAACAATATGAACATAACCAAAAAGCTAATAATACAACTAACTGCAACTTATTTTCCTTCAAAGACGTCTCTCCCATCAGTAAGCTAAAAAAAGACTAAATGGAGTCTACTGGTGCATCTTCGCTATAAATATTTGAGGAAAAAAAATTATAATATAACTCCAAATATTGCAGGGTTGAACATTGATGAAAAAAATGATGCCTGTCATTTCATAACGTAAATCTGACTGTACAGGTTAAAATGTAAAACCTCATCTGGGCATTTCTTAAACTTTCTTTTATGTCTTTTGTTGTTGGCTATTCTATCTAGTTCATTTTATTATAATATAAGCACAAATGAGATCCATAACACGCAAATCTGGAAATTTCATCAATATTTTTTCATCTACTATCTAGCATACATTATCACCACATTAATCCATACTAAAATTGGAAGGAGAGCATGGTTAACTTACATCCTTACGATCCACTGGAGAAGAAGGTGGTATCTAAAATGATGAGCAAGATATGACACGAATATACAATCAATATAGTTGCATAACATTATATAATAACATATGACATTAGGAATTGTCAATAGCTGATACTATGCTATCTAAATGTGGTAAGTGAACACTCACCTTGTTTGGTTGTGTACTACAAAATGTTGATCTAACCTGCTGAAAATCAGTTTGTTTGGTCATATCAAATTTAACAGGTCATTCACACAAGTCACCAATTTAAAAGGATGATTTTTAAAATCAGCTAGAGAAACACCAACACCATTGAATGTCTTATTTTATGGAGTAACACTTGCACTAGAGTTCCTACAAAATCTAACTCTACTCTTTGTGCATAAGTTGTGCAGTAATAGACTCGAGTTTTACTCGTAGGGCTCTAACATTCTTTAGAAAATCAATAAAATATATCAGGTTAAAATGACCTGATACTAATTATAATTTGTTAATCTAAGATATATTCGATCTCATCAATTCTGAACACTTCATCCTCCTCTAAAGAGCTAACTCACTTCCCCTAGCTATTTTTTGCATGATCATCTTCTCCTTAGGCTGTCAAGTAGCGGTGGGGGATACATTTGATATTATTCCCTTTGTTTCACGATGATCATTAGGTATAATCTCCTATAACTACACCACCAAGATCGGGTAACAGAACAGCGGCCAGAGCAGCAGATTCCATAGTCGCAGTTCTTCCTTGGAAATGGCAGGAGTTAGAGGACATTTTTGTTCTAGATAGACATAATTCCTACTTTTCACAAGCACAGACTACTCAGAAAAAACATGACTCACTTATATGAGGATCATGATCATAGATAGTACACTTGATCAGTATCCTTTTGATGTAAACTTGATTATCAACTTTCCCAAACATATAGATATCTTGTTTTCTACATTAATTCAAATACATGATTGTCTATCTTCAACTATTATAATTGTTGCAGATAGTAATGTACATAGAAACAATCCAACAAGCATTTCTACATGATAGAATCAAAAATTGATTTCCAAAAAAAAAAATGCTATCATCAATTTACCTGATATCACAAATAAAGCTAACCAATTTGATTTATTCTCGAAAGCGAAACAATTTGCATCTCTATTCTTTGTCAAGTCTCGGTGTACATGCGCTTTGAAAAATACATGGCTTTGAATTGTCAAGAAATTAAGGAATAAATAACTTTATCAGTGGTAGAAACACTTGCATGTATGAGTACAATACAACATTATATTAAATCTAATCGAGAACACCAATAAACAATAATTTGAAGGTAGATGGTGATTGAATTGAGGGAAAGACGATGACATTAAAAACCTATAGATAGAGAGCAAATTGGATATGGCAGTGAATTTAGCCTTTCTCAAGAAAGAAGGCAATCAGAACAAAAAAACCTCAGAGAATCACGCAGCAACATGTAAACTAACATATGCAGATGATCACGACCAAAATGGAATCCACATGGATGAGAAAACAAAAATTCAACAGAAAGGTCTCTATGAAACTAATCATGAGCACATTATGAAAAAGTGTAATGACTTAGTTATATAAGAACCAGTTGACAATCAGAAAGCCAATACACAAGCAACATCTCTGCTATAAACCGCAAAAGATTTCCTGAAATATTGAATACATGAATACAAATAGTAGAGAAACAACCTTTGTACAATTTCAACTAACTCGATAGTTAATGATATCTGGTAAGAGGTGACTAAGGGAAAAACCTGAAACTTGCAAATCAGTCTCCCCAACTTTAATAGCACTTGGTGGAATTCTGGGTGGTGTCATGCTAATAAAGAAGGAAGTATAAGAAATGGTGATAGGAATATTCCTGCCTATGCACACAGGTTCAGGATGTCAAAAATCTAACTTTGACATGTATCAACAAACTAATTTACTGTCTACACATTCTGGACTAGCCATTTAATATGTTCAATAACTGGAATAGAGTAGCCTTGGTAAAGGTATGGAAGTCTTTGACATACCTAGTTGTAGGTGTCACAATGATATCCACATTCTCGAAAATCTCCATATGGAAATACATTAACCTCCGCCTGCAAGAACCCAGAGAACATTGTTGATAGGTTCCAAAGTTATCAACTTAAAAGTTTTGGCAACTAACTAAGTATAAAAGTAAACCTAAGGTAAGATGCAACTATCTGATGTTTTCAGTCATTTTAGATGCCACCATATTTCTAAATCAATAAATCAGTTCTCAAATGACAACAATAACATCAGACCAGTTCTTAGATGGAGTCTGAAAGAAATTCATGACTAGGTTAGATTGCTTTAGAGTAGGTAGCTTCAGAAACATGTCTCACCTAAGCCGCTGAGCAACAACATAGTCTGCTGCAGTAAATGAATGAAAAAATGTCAAATCTGTACGAGTATCATATACCAATATTGCTCATTTCCTGGTGACAAAAAAGAAGAAGAAGAAAACAGATAACAAGGATGATTTGAAGTTGCTTCCAATATGACATTGAGATCTAGTAAGAAGACATGTGATGTACTCGAATATTCAAAGAGAAATTGTGTACCCACCACCACATTCTAGATTCAGTGTGCACAATGATTCAGACCCAATAGAAACAATATGTGCAATGTGCATCTCATGCAACTTTGGTATTACAATCTCTACAGTCTTTAACCACGAGATAAATAAAAATCTTGAACGTAGTAACAATCTTGTAGAATGATAGATACTCACAATATTGACGCTAATTGTACCAACAATTCTAAACCAAAGCTAGAAGATACACTAACCAAAGTCCAAGATAAAGTAATGGAGAATGTAATAATAGAAATAGACATACTTTGCATCCATGCTTTTCTCATAGTCGACTGAGAACATTCTCACACTTGTCAGATAAATCAGTTGAGAAGACATCATTAAACCACTACAAGAGTAAGTTTCTATGAGATTATCAAAGAAATGATGATTATAACCAAAAAAAAATAATTCAATGCACAACAGGTGTAGTCATATCTGCATATTTTCCAAGGCGCAGTGATTCCAGAGATCGCGAGCTCTCTTGTGAAGGGAAATTAGGTACACAAGGGAGGGACTGAAAGAAATAGAGACAGGTGATTAAATTACAGAAACATAACTTCTGATCCACAATGATGTCCAAAATCAATAAGTGAAAGCTAGGACATGAAGTTCCTTAGGTAATTTATACACAGACTAAGAGAACCAAATGCAAACATTAAGACATGTAGTTCCTTAACCAACTTATACACATGAAGTTACAAAGAAACATATTAGTGAAAGCTCCAATTCTACATCTAGCATTTCAAGAACATAATGCAAAATGAAGACTTGTATCCAAAGTAGAAAACAATGTTTGCAGCCACCACTGTAAGGAAGAAGGAAAAGATGCATGATCTTTGCAAGGTGAGGCACGAGGTAGAAGGACTAAAGTTCCCATAAGGAAAGCTCATTAAATCAAGCTCTTGATGCCGGTTCTTGTTATCAATTTAGATGTAAAAGATAACCATGAGGAGGTAGCAATTGGATGTCGTCTTGCTTTGATTTTGTGTCAAGAACTTGAAGCGACTGAAAATTGGGAGGATACAATTGATGATATTATCAATAATTTAGAGAAACAACACAGATGGAAGCTCCTGTACAGTATCTCATTCTAATGAAATGATGGCAATCTTAAGAGTGTTAATGGAACTATCAGTTTGTTCTGTGTCCAATTTGTCTGCTGGTATGCTGGGAACACATTGCCTTTTTATGTATAACCTTCCCAGTTATGGCAAGTGACAAAAAGATTGCTTCAAAAGCCTTTGTTGGCTCGGATTATTTTTGCAGTGCTCATGCTTCTCCGTTCTCATAAAAAAAATCAGTTCCAAATCCTGCTCTAGAAACTAAATAACATAATACCTTCTCGACCATATCATCCTTGTACTCCACGATATATGGATGTCTTAACTTAGCTATCAGATCCATCTGCCATAGAATAATACATACACAGATATCATCAAATATCAATTAGCTGAACATTATGCAGACCTATCTACTCAACATAATATCATTCAAAGCCAAAGTGCAATTTACTCTATAACCTGCAGACACCAGGTTCTAAAATAAGACAATGGCTTGCACGACGATTCTGCTTCGCTTTCAAAACCTAATAACTTTTTAGAGTGAAATTAATATGATTCGATTAACAAAACCCTATAGCTATTCAATTTAATTTCCAACTGATGAAGGTAAAATACGAGCTAGACTCCCAAAAATCGTACAAAAAACACAAGAATATCAAAACCCTAAAGCTAAAATTTAGACTTTCAAAGATAGAATTTCTAACCTGATAAACCCTATTCCAACAAAATCGTGTTATTCAGCGAGAACTATGACGAAAATTGTGTTCTTCAGCGAGAACTATGATGGAAATCGTGTTCTTCAACGAGAAGCTCTTCAACTCTTCAACAAGAAATCTGTGAGAAATTGTGTTCTTCAGCTAAAAATCTGAGAGAAAATCGTGACGGAGAGACTTAGCTTCAGTTCATCTGTGACAGATAGACTTAGCTTCAGTTCATCTGTGACAAATAGGCTTAGCTTCAGCTCTTGATCAGTTCTCTAGACTTAGCTTCAGCTCTTCAGTTCATCAGAGAAAAGCATGTTCTTCGGTTCATTAGAGAATTTTCTGAATTGGGGAAAACAAAGTTTTAATGTTTTATGAATTATTATTTTTTTGCCCAATAAAAATGGGAGGGAGAGTTAAAAATGTTAGAAGGAATATAATTTTTTAGTGAAAGTTTTAAGGCCACACTTGTAATGTGTTGTTTTTACAATTATAAAAATAGGACACTTTAAAAGTGTGGCCATATATGTAAATAATTGTTGCCAATTCTATCATATTGTAACAACGCTTATAAAGTGTAGCTTATACCATAAAATAGTACACTTTGCAAGTGTTGCCAATATTATCGAAGCTAAAGGTTAAAAACTAAGACTACGCTTTAAAAGCGTCCCCAAAAATATTTTAGGCAACACTTTACAAGCGTTGTCCAGAATTAGTGTGGCCGTAGGCCTTAAATGGTGTAGTGTTTTTTGTGTTGTACATAGTAAAGGTTGTTGCATATTTGTTGCAATGCTAGAAGCATACATGAGTCTCTCCCATCCAAAAACCCCAGCATGCCTACTCCTAGAGAAGTATGCTAGAATTCCTGATAACAACTTCATTCTAGAAGCTGCCACAAAAGTGTTAGATATTCTCACGGAAAATACTTTACAACGAACTCTTCTAGGAAATTCTCATAGCTTGCGGCATGTCAGACATTGTCATTAAGGATATATCACCCAGTATTGATGTATCCCCCATGATTCAACAAGTTATTTTAGTATAAAACATGGAACCAAAAACTAACAAAGATACTCCGGAAAAAATTCTAACATACTAGAATATAAAGAATATAAAGGGGGAATTTCTCTTAATATCTTCTTGATGAACCAACATTTCAATATTCTGATAGATATTTTGATAATGACAAACGTGAACCAGCTTCACAAGTTTGTTCAAGCATTGAGTTAAAAATAGTGGGAAGACATAAATCCATATTAAAAGTAAAGACTCCTAAATAAGGAAAAGAAAGTGCAGATGAATACTTATAGGGAAAGGAGACCTTTTTAAGGAAAAAGTAATTACTTTCTTTGTAGGATTCAACTAGGGTTTAATAATCCCTTATAAAAGGATCTATTGACAAAGAGAAAGATATTTTTTGAAATCTAGAAATCGAGAGAACTTTGTGGAAAGAACTCTTGTGGCGCCCAAGTGAAAGATGAGAGAAAAAAGAAGAACTAGAGTTATGTTTGCTTTCTAAAGCTTAGTATGCATTGTTTCATCATAGAATCAGTCTTTAGGAATAATTGTTCTAAATGTGAAAAAGAATTTGTGAGGTTTGTAACAAGAAGTGGGTTTGAATTCTTGGACAGAAGAGTGCACAATTATCGTTAGTTAGTGTAAGTAACAAGAAGTGGGTTTTTCTTCTTGGAGAGTGATGTTTGAGTAATCAAAACACAACTTCCAATGCAGGTGTGTACGATCATACAATAGTAAAGTAACCCAACCAAGGGTTGAGGTCGAGTCCCAAGGGAGCGGTTCCGGAAAATTAGTGATTCAAAGCGAAAGTGCTAAAGCTAACGCTAGCTAAAGACTTTATCGAATGAAGACATGACAAATTAAAGGGTTTGACAGGAGTGTCAATTATCAATGGGGTGTTTGTAAACAAGTAAAGAGCAAAATCAACAAAAATAAAGAGAGATACGAATATGGAGACGGGATTCTTGAGATGTGACAGGAATACGGGCTATACTAGATCATTGGGTACATGATTTTGATAGTAAATTCGTTGAATATTTGTGACTAGGCTAGACTATAGTGGGGGTAAATTCTCTCTCGAGCAACTTACCCCGAATCAACTCGATTTTTCTCAAATACCGAGTTGCCGCATGAAGACCAGCCTCCGCCTTAGCCCACTCACTCTCTCAAGCTGAGTGTGTGGGAGAAGGACTAGGGTTCACTCTCTCGAGCTGAACCTCATTTCGACCCAATCCCATCGGCCATCAATTTAGTAGTCTTAGTGTTACTACCTCTCTCTCGAGCAAGCCGAAAACACAAAGGTGAAATCATATTTGCAACTACAATTTCATTCAGTTCCACCACAACTACTAAACGAAATCACATTTACACAATAAATAAACCATCAACAAGAAAGCCCCAACAGATAATCTAACCCATATTCACAAAATCACACCCCAAGAATTGAGGTTTTAGCAAGACATGTAAAAGATATAAAAAAGTTATACCAAACTCAGTTTCCATCAATGGGTATGCAAGATTAAGTCTTAAAACAAGTCAAGAGTGAAGAATCTACAAGACCCAAGTCCAATTTCTTGGAGTTGAAACTCTTTGAATCTTCAAGGTGTTAGAACAAAGTCTCCAAAACCCTCTAAAACTTGGAACTTAATATATTCTAAGTCTTAAATAAATTGTCTATGACTTGATTTCTTGATTGATTGATAACAATTTCAAAAAGTATTTATAGTGTTTGAAAATTTGTGTTGCAGCGGATCACTCGGCGCAGTTAGCCGGGATCGCCGATACACTCGCGATTCGTCTTTTGGTCAATTTCATCGCCTTCGTGCTTTAGCCTTCAACATTTTTGCGGTTTGAGTCGTTGGGCGATATAGTATTGCTTTGCGGAACTACTCGGCGACACGTCGACTTCTCCATTTCATTGCCAACTTGATCATTCCCTTCAGGGCACAACACACTGGAACATAAGGCGATCTCCAAGCCGATCGGTGATCTTCAAGCCTTCATTTTTTCGTTCTTTTTAGTCGCCTTGT